TCTTGTCTCAAAACCAAAAAACCCCACAAGGTTCTAATTACTGAGTAGTTTAGCTTATCAACCTAAAATGTAAAGGCTAGGAATTAGGTTATGTGTCTTAAATAGGTAGGTTATTTGTAGGTTGAAATCAGGGTCACAGTACTTTTTAAAAAATTTTTATTTTATGTGTATGCATGTATTGCCTGCATGTAGGTAAGTGCACCTGTGTCGTGCAATGCCAGCGAGGTCAGAAGAGGCTGTTGGATTCCCTGGGACTGGACAGTTGTTCACTGCCATGTGGGTGCTGGGATTCAAACCTGGGTCTTCTGCAAGAACAACCAGTGTTCTTAACCGCTTAGCCATCTCTCCAGTCCCAGCACTAACTTTATCTAGGAATAAAGAAATAAAGGCAAACCAGAAGATAGCCTTACTTTTCTGTTGTTTTTTTAGAAAAATTTTATTTATTATTTTTATGTGTATGAGTGTATTGCCTGCATGTATGTAAAGGCACCCGAGTGGTGAAATGCCTAAAGGAGATCAGAAGAGAGTCATATTCCCCTGGAACTAGTTACAGATCAGCTGCCACGTAGATGCTGGGAATTCAATCCAGGTCCTCTGCAAGAGCAGTCAGCGCTCTTAATCGCTGAACCATCTCTCCAGCTCCTTGTTTTGGTTTTGAGATTTGCCTGTCTGCACCTCTGAGTGCTGGATTAAATATGTGTACCACCATGCTCAGCTGATAGCTTTACTTTTGACACTAATATCAAAGTACCTATGGAGGCACAAATAAAATTTTTGAGAGCAAGGGATACTAAAACATCTGCAGGAACAAATTTCTATACTATTTAGCACAATTTGGGTTTGAGTTGTGTAAAATAGCATTTATTACAGGTTATACTCAATTCAGTTTATTATATAAAAATGGTTTATACATATAAAGGATGGTTACTGGGGTAGAGATAGCTTAGTTGGTAAAGTGCTTACCATGTTCATGTATATCTGAGTTCAATCCCCAGAACCTACACTAAAAAAAGTGGAGCATGGGGGTATAGGTTTGTTAATTCCAGATCTGGGGAGGTGGAAATAGGCAGATGACTGGGGTTTCAAGGTCAGCCAGCTTTAGTGTAATTTGTTCAAGGCAGTAAGAGATTCTGTCCCCTCAAATTAAAAGTGGATGACAGCTGAGGAATGAACCAGATGTTGACCATGACACCTCACACATCCATCTGCACACACTCATGCACCTGTTGGCAGTGTCTACACTAAAGGAGCAGAAAAACAAAAAATCAAAACTATTAAAAATCAAAAACCACCCAATCTCAAGCTCTAATATGACAAATACTGACAAACTTGGCACATTCAGAACTTTTTTAAAGTACTGTTCACCTGTCTAAGCAAATCAAAGACCTCCAACAAGTACTTTTCCCCTCATTGTTTTCACAAGTTTAAATTCCAGATACTAAAAGAATCCCCCCTCCCTCTAAAACTACACATATGGTTACGACATATTTAGAGACATTAAACTCTAGTCAGAATAGTAGAGCATTATTCAGAGGACTATGGGGTCTGTATGCTTTGCTATCTTCCTATTTGCTTCTTTTGGTCTTTTTGAGACAGGGTCTCCCTGTAGCCCCAGCTAACCTAGAATCCACTATGTAGATCAGGCTGGCCTCAAACTCAAGAGATCCACCTGCCTCTGCCTAAGCGTGCACCACCACGCCCAGCAAACCAATGAAGTGTGAGCACTAGGAACTGAACCTGGGTCCTTTGTTATGGAAGGCAACATTTTTAACCACCAAGCCATTTTTCTGCCTATTTGCTTCTTTTAGGTTTCTAGTATTAGTTCCTCTCATTTCCAGATGATATTCCAAACTAAGAAATAAAATGTTTCATATTTTAAACAGCAAAGGGAATTATGGATTTCATTTTTTATTATCAAGACAGGGTCTTACTATGTATCTCCAGCTGGCCTAAAACTCATTCTATATGTAGATCTCACTGGCTTCAAACTCAGTGATCCACCTGCCTCTGCTTCCCAAGTGCTGAGATTAAAGGCCCATGTTCACCACACCTGGCTTTATGACTTTGTTGTTGCTGTTTCTGAGTCAGTCTGTCTCACGTAGCTGGCCTTGACTTGCTATGTAACCTGAAGCTGGTTTTGAAGCCCTGATCCTCCCGCGTCTACTCATCTACTGGACTATGTCAGTATTTAAAATATAATAAAATAAAATAAAAAATCAAGTTACCCCCAAACTTGAGTATTTAGTATTTTCAGAGCACCACCTACAAATTATTAATAGAGTTCAGCATTAGTGTTACCATAAAAACATTATCCAGAAAAGGCAGCTAACATCAAATTAATTATTTTTTTCTTTTTGAGACAGGGTCTCCCTGTAGCCCCAGCTGGACTTGAACCAAGATATTTGCCTGCCTCCGGAGTGCTGAGATTAAAGGTTTGCGCCACCGTGCTGGGCGCAGTAAATAAATTTCTTTTAAAATGCCACAGCTAAATACATTCATGGCCTGATGGACCTTTAAAAATTATTTTGATGTGTCCGGGCGTGATGGCACACACCTTTGATCTCAGCACTCAGGAGGCAGAGGCAAGCTTATCTTTTGAGTTCAAGGCCAGCCTGGTCTACACAGTGAGTTCCAGGTAGGCTAGGAGTAGGGAAACCCTGTCAAAACAAAAAATAAAGAGAAATCTATTTACTGAGACAGGATCTCACGTAGCTCAATCTGGTTTTGAACTCTAGATTCCCCTGGCTCTACCTCTTAAGTGCGGAGATTACAGGTTATGTGCCACTAAATTTAGCAAAACACAACATCCTATTTGTGTATCAAGTGATTTCAGTTCAAATCATTTTCAGAAAAGAACCTTTTCATTCTGTTTTTATTTTCAAGAGGACCGTACATGTCAGAGATATGGGTGAAACATAAGGGAATTTTCATACAAAAGCAAGTTCCATGTTAAATTAGAATGTTTTCTCACTCTGGAAGTTTCATTTGTTTCAGCATGTATCAAATGAAGTAATACTAGTAATCTAGTAATACTAGTAATCTAGACAAAAATATTCAAAATGCTGTAAGAGCTGACAATGGGCAACGTTCAGATTTGACCAACCAAAGGAGTTTTCAGTGTTTCATATTTGCCAATCTTTTGTTCCCTAAAACATGTAGCCACTAGAGGCTGTCACACTGGCAAGAACAATGCTCTACACCCTGAATAAACTTCAAACACATCAAGGGGTCATACATAAACCCACTTAACCACTGTTTTTTATATACTACTGTTAATTTTGGAGGTGAAACTGTCCTTTACATCTGAGAAAAATGAATATACAAAAATAGTCCAGTTTTTCTTCTTCTCACTCTTCTGCAGAATTACCTCTGGCTATCAGCTGCTACCTGCCCTATAGCCCAGACTTATCTTTTCCTCTCATCTAAACTCTGGAGGTCAAAATAGGTATTTGAAACCCAGTAATTTTGCAGTTTAAAGTCCATTATGACAGTGTTTAATCTTATCAATCTTGAAAGAAACAAGTACATACAAATGCCTGACAAGTGTCCATCTCTGGGCTAGGTCACTAATATAAACAAGGGCTCTAGGCATTTGAGAGTAGTTCTAAGCATCATCAAGGGGCTGGAAGTGGGGTCATTCCAGACAATGGGACTCAGTATATACTGGCATGAAAAATAATTTGAGGTGGCATGTATTTTTTGCACATCAGCAAATGAATTATGTAAACCCAGTAAGATTACTGCAATTGAACAAGGTAATCATTTAAACAAAAATAAAGGAAGACTGAGTAAAGGTCAGTTTTTGAGATGACGATGGAAGAAAAAGTTCTTGGGAATCAAGTACCACCCTTGGTATTTTTATAAGCTCATCAAGTCCTTGGTTCCTGAAACTTTAACATTTAACCAGTAGCTCTAAGAAATACAATGGAAGAGAAGGTTGGTGAACAGTAACAAATCATATGGCTTACAATGCAAGAAAAGTAATCCCAAGGTTTTTTTCTTTTTTTTTTGGTCTTTTTAAGACAGGGTCTTCCTGTAGCCCCAGCTGGCCTGGAACTCAGAGACCTGCTTGCCCCTGCCTCTGCAGGGATCAAAGGCGCACACTACCACTTCCACTGTGCTTTTTTTTCCAGACAGGGTCTTTCATAGCCCCGGCTGACCTCCAACTCACTAAGTAGGAGAGGATGGTCTTAAACCTAGTAATTCCCCTGCCTCAGCTTCCTAAATGCTGAAATTAAGCTTGTGCCACCATGCCTGGCTTTCAAGTATTTAAAATTCCATAAAAAAGCCAAGAAAAAGTAAAGCTTCTGAACTTCATGGAGCTGAAAACTGTAAAGAATCAGAGCATGAGTACAGGTGCTAACTAAAAGTACAAACAAAAGATTTGCTCCCCTTAGCTTAGAAAATGGCCTCTTTTCCTTATTAAGGCAAAGCGATGCTAGGAACATTTTGAAAATTATGATCTACTGTCTTCATATTTAGTTCATTCTCTAAGTTGCTGTAAGGGAGCAGTGAAATTTACACACAGAAAAGTAATGAAGCTATTTCATAATTCTCTTTTTTGTACTAAGTAACTACATTTTAAAGTGTTTTGGTGCATTCACATTCGAGTACTTATACACACATAGACACATCCAGAAACTAAGGCTACACAAATGAATTTAAAACCCAACCTTGTTTTCAAAGTACAAAGAGCCTGCAACTGAAACTAAATTAGTTCCATAACCTTGATCCCAGGTTAAAGTTATCTTTTTTTAGTTCAGTAAGCATTCATTTTCTCCCAGCACCAAATATGTGGTTTGTCAAAAAGTAACCGCCTAACATCCTCCTACTAGGAGGCTGTGGAAAGAGTTCATGGCAAGCCTGGGCTATGTAGACAGGAAAAACCCATCTCAAGGTCCCAAACAAAACTCACTAAAAACACGGGTTATGCCACTAAAAATGTGCTTTTAAAGAGGTAGGTCCAGTAAATACGAATAATATTTACTAGAAGCGCTTACAATTCCATCTTTTATTTTTAAACATAGGGGTGACAGAACGGCAACGCAGACTAACAAAGTATTGAAAATGACCTTTCAGTTTCATACAGAGCCAAACACAAGCAGCTGTTATTCTTGCTAACTACACGTATATTTAAAAAGGCAAACCCCACTGCTAACATTAAGCATTCTTACAAGATGCACAGACAGGGAGGGGATTGCAAGAACAGAAAATACTTAGGAAAATAGTTTTAAGAAGGAATTCAGGCGATACAATCCTTGGTTTCTTTGCATGGCCTAGAAAATTAATAAATGTTCCTGGGTGTTTATAAATTTGCTTATTCTGTATTATTCCATTCTGTTCAGAGAAACTTCTGTTTTCTTAGAAAATAATTGGCCCGGAGGGCCGTCGTGCCCCCAAAAGCTAACCTGTCCTGGTTCTCATCCCAGTGACCCTCAGGGCCTCAGTTGGTTCCGAGTTCCTCAGGAGGGGCCTGCTACGTAAGAACACTGTGCCAGGAGAAAGGCAGATAAGAAAATAGGGCGCCAAACCTTCTCCGACAGCGGTCACACCCCAAAAGGAGTGTCCCTCTCGGGAGCTTTCCCCCGGGAGGCGCAGCTGGGGTGCGGCAGGGGGGAGGGGAAGCGCTTTCAGTCATCTCTTCCTCTTCAGGACGCCAACGCCGACCGCACCACAGTCTCCTCCGCCCAAGCCCGGTCCCCTCCCCCGGCCGGCCTGGGCCAGAGCCAAACCCCACAGGAATGCAGCCGGTCACATGCGCTGCGGCGGCGGTGGACGTGCCTCTCCCCCCGCGCCCCAAGGAGACCCAGCGCCATCTTGCCCTGACGCAGTTACAAAAGTCACAGGAGAAATTGTGTTTCCTCGGCCGCGCCAGCGCCCCAAAGTCTCGCAGAGGCCGAGCCAGGGCCCTCACCTCGCGAAGGGAGAGGAGCAAATGGTCGGGGAAGAACCTGGCGACTTCCTTCGCCACTGCTTGGGTTCCACAGCGGCCGCGGCTGCAACGATCTCCACCGTCACTTCTCCCTCTGCCTTTGCAATAGCCTCCCCCGACGGCTTTGGCCCCACCCGCTGCTGCAACATGAGGTCATCGCCAGCCAATCCCGACGCGCCCGACAGAACTCCTCAAGCAGCGATTGGCTGCCGAGATCCCCTCGGCCTCTCCCCACGCCACTGACGGAGACCTAGGTCGTGGAGTGGGGCAAGAAGACGGAAACCGCCATTTCGGGGAAAGGCCCCGAAAGCTGGAGCCGAGGTCGGCATGTGGTTTTAGTGGGGAAACCCTTGTTCATTCCTTGGCCGCCCCCCTTTTCTTCGAGATAACCGGCTCTGCCCGTCCCCCGTTTAATCACCGCTACACAAACGAACTCCCGCTTCCCTCCCGCACACTGTCCCTCAGCGGGGAAATCCTTCCCCGGGGCCAAGAGAAGTATAGGAGGCAGCGACGGCAACTGCACCGACAGCAACGGCAGCTTTTACCCCGATACATGGTGGAGGGAGGCGGCGCTGACGGTGGATGCAGTTTTTTTTTCTGCTGCTTCTCCCCCCGACCTCTTCCGTTTCTTGCTCCTCCATCGAAACAGGGCCGGACTCGCCAGCTCCGCTTTTATCCTGTGCCCGGAGCCTGCGCACTGGAGTCTCCTCAGCCACTAGTGGGCGTTGAGTGACATCCCAACCGGGTTCACCCTGCGCTGGAGGCCAGACCGGGGCGGGGGCGACGGGACTGAGGTGGTTTGGGGGTGGGAGCAGGTGCAGCACTTTAGGAGGGCGATGGGAAGGGGGCCCTCCCCATCTCCGTCCCCGTTATCATCCCTCCACCTCCTAGTGGCATCCTCGGGCTCACCTATTTCCCCGGGCTACTCGGGGGGAAGGGGGAAAGAACCAAGCCCACCAGATAGCGAGGCTCCCCCCAAACCGTTGGCGAATGGCTGGATGCATCTGTTGTGAAAAGGCCGGACAGCTTGGCCGGCTCGCGGCCGCCAGCGTGACGTCTCTGCGCCTCTGTGGAGTGGCCCCAGCGGGCCGCAGCCCATAAGCAAGATGGCGGCGAGCAGCTTCGTCCCCTCCCCCCTGCCCCT